AAACAAAACTGAAACCATTTTATTTTCTTCTGACAATAGCACCTCCTAAAGGAAGAAATGCATCTTGTTCTTGCATTGGAGAGTTCAGTTTGTAACCTAGGTCTTGCTCGTCCTCAGTGCACTGATACCATATATATATATATTAAGATGATTTGGAAAATATTTGAACACCTTGTCTTAAAATATTTTATTCATCATGTTAAAATAAAACGTTCCATAATTAAAAAAAAATCTTTTCTTTTTTCAATTTTTCCAATTTTTCGGAAAAAACCAAAAAAGGCTTCAGGAAAAAAACGTTTTTTTCCCGGGCCTTCACATCTCTAAACAGGGCCAGAAGTCTGAAACACTGAAAACTACCTAGGAAAAGTGTTGGATATATTTACTTTGGACTCTGTATTTTCCTATTATCGATCTTGTTGGCTTCTGTATTTTCCTATGAGGGATTATATGACTCTATATGCATTTCACTCCATTGAGGCCTCCTTTTGTATACTTTTTTTTTGAGGGATATTCAGCTCACAGCTGTTTTCTGTTTTTCTTTGCTAAGAGAGAAATAACAGCCACCCCATCTCCCCCTCCCAGATATTTGTTCGGGGTTTTTTTAACCTTAGTCTATTGCTGCCGTGTATTCATTTATTTAGATTTTTCAACTGCCCTCCTCCGGCAAGCCGGGCTCAGAGCGGTGTACGACGTCAATTAAAACAAGATTAGAAACCAGTTAACAGAGAAGTATAGCTGATGGCGCAGGAGACGCCAGTAATGCCGCTATCTCACCAGGGGGGAGGAGGAGGAGAATGGGAGCGCCGGAATGGAACCGTGGCTGTCCTCAACCAAACGCCTGGTGGAACATCTCTGCCTTAGGGGACCTGCGGAACTGTGACAAGTCCCGCGGGGCACGGATGTCATTCGGCAGAGAGCTCCACCAGGCTGGAGCCAGCGCAGAAGAGGCCCTGGCTCTGTTTCAGGACAGCCGGATGTCTCTCAGTCTGGGGACCACCAGTAGATTTTGATCTACAGAGCGCCACGCTTTTCTGGGGCTATACCAGAAGAGGCAGTGCCAAAGGCACACAGGTCCCTGACTGCTTAGGGCCCTGAAGGACATCATCATCATTTTATTACGGTCAGAGACCCATTAAACAGCATTACAGAATCAAAAGAAAAAAGCATTACAGAGAAGAGACATCATAAGGAACACTGAGGAGTTGCTTACGCTTTGTAAATGCAATAAAGAGAAATTTGGCAACATTCCTCGATATTACAGTGGATTTGTCCTCCAATAGATGTTCCAGCAAAAGTTCCTCAGAGTGGTTTACTAATTGTCCTTGGTGCCTGAATGACCTTATTATAGGTGTAATTAAGAGGGCTCTTTCGTCTGCATAATAGGGGCAATGGAATAATATATGAGAAAGGGTCTCAATTGACTTGGAGGGGCATGAGCAAAATCTCAAATGCCTAGGGATGCGTTGAAATCTTCCGGCAAGAACTGCCGATGGAAAAGTATCAAATCTAGCTCTGGGAAAAACCCATCTATGATTTGGGTTGGGGATATTAGCTAGATATAAAGGAAGCCCTGGAGGTCAATACCAAGGCCTTGACCCTGACCCGGTACTCCCCCGGAAACCAGTGCAGCTCGCACAGCACAGGTTGGACGTGTGTGCTGTGCATGGCGTCCCCGTAAAGACCTGCGCCAGCTGCATTCTGCACCAGTTGGGAGTTTCTGCGTCAGTCTCAAGGGTAGGCCTCGCATAGAGCAAGTTGTTTATTTATTTAATTAATTTGATTTATATCCCACCCTCCCTGCCAGGCAGGCTCAGGGCGGCTTACGCTAGACGTTAAAATACACTGTAACACAGATGAAACATCATAAAACTCAAATACGTAACAAAGAAAGTGCTGGTGGCGGCATAACGTTACATGGCGATCCCGATAGGCCATGTTAAGATGTTACAGCAATTCAGCCTAGAGGTGGCCGTTGCACGGATTACAGTGGTGAGGTCAGGACGAGACCAGGTACGGGGCTAGTTGCCTGACCTGGCGCAGTTTAAGAAACGCCAGTCTGGCGGCGTTTGTGACCTAGGCCTCCATGGTCAGAGAGGCATCCGGGATCACAGCCAGGCTCTCAGTGTGCCGGTCTCAAGGGCTCACTATCAAGAGCCCGGAGTTGACACCCCCACACCAGAGTCTCCCCCGGCCCAACCACAGAACCTCCACCTTGGAAGGACTCCGTCTCAGAGGGCTCTGTTTCAGCCACCCCACCACCTGCCCCCCTCTGCCAGATTTACTGGGGCAGCATCCGGTTGGCCAACCACCAACAGACACAGCTGGGTGTCATCGGCATCCTGGTAGAGGCTCTTGCGACTCAGAAATCCACAGGCGCCAAACGCGACAGGCTCACTTCAGAGCATAATGAAGTATTAAGTGGGAACGGAAAGACCGCCTACCGTCTGCCACGGCGTCCGTGGCGACAAACACTCTCTCAAGTTTCTGCAGGCTCCTGGGGCAGCATCCGGTTGGCCAACCACCGACAGACACAGCTGGGTGTCATCGGCATACCGGTAGAGACACTTGCTTACTCAGAAATTCACAAACGCCAAACATGATAGGTTCAGTCCAGAGCATAATGAAGTATTAAGTGGGAACGGAAAGACCGCCTACCGTCTGCCACGGCGTCCGTGGCGACAAACACTCTCTCGAGTTTCTGCAGGCTCATCAGGCTGGTGATTTTCTTAACTGTGCCCCGGAGGCTCGGCACGTCGTTTCTGTGACCCCAGACGAAGTCTCTGCGCCTGAGATGAACCCCCAGGTAGGGGCCACCAAGGGCCGTGCCCAGTTTCACCTAAGCACAGAAGAACCAGCACATGCTGAAGCTGAAACAAAACGGTATCGGTTCAGTGGGGAGAGATCTCTGCTCGTGAACACCCCAAGTGTACCGGGGAAAAGAGCATTGAGCTGAACTCTCTGGGTGACTCGCTGTGACTCGTCAACCTGTGTGTACGTTTAACTGCCTTTGTACCAAGCGTGAATCAGTAAGCCGCAAGTGGGTTTCTCTAAGGGAATTGCAGCACATGCTGAAGCTGAAACAAAACGGCATCGGTTCAGTGGGGAGAGATCTCTGCTGGTGAACACCCCAATTGTACCGGGGAAAAGAGCATTGAGCTGGACTCTCTGGGTGACTCGCTGTGACTCGTCAACCTGTGTGTACGTTTAACTGTCTTTGTACCAAGCGTGAATCAGTAAGCCGCAAGCGGGTTTCTCTAAGGGAATTGTGCTTACACTGTACAAATGTATACCCTCCTCACAACAGACACCCTGTCAGGTAGGTGGGGCTGGGAGAGCTCTGACAGAAAGTGCTGTTTTTCAAGGACAGCTCTTACCAGAACTATGGCTTGCCCAAGGCCATCCAGCCAGGTGCAAGTGGAGGAGTGGGGAATCAAACCGGTTCTCCCAGATTAGAGCCCGCGCACTTAACCACTACACCAAACTGGCCTGGCCAGCAGGACTTCTGATTAGTACTGGGGATCTGACTGGCTACGCAGCTGGAAATAACATGGCTTCAACACAAGCTGCCACCATCCTGTTTGTTCTGTTCTTTCTCCCCCCTTTCCTTGTGCATTGCTTGAAGTTACTCTGGTCATCCTCTGCGTCTGCATCTCCTGCGTGGGTCTTTCCTGTGTGTTTCTGTCTCTACCTCCTCTAGTGGCCATTTTGTGGTTGCCTCTGCCTTCCAGTTTGGTGTAGTGGTTAAGTGTGTGGACTCTAATCTGGGAGAACCGGGTTTGATTCCCCACTCCTCCACTTGCACCTGGCTGGATGACCTTGGGCAAGCCATAGTTCTGATAAGAGCTGTCCTCGAAAAAGAGCAGTTTCTGACAAGAGTTCTCTCAGCCCCACCTGCCTCACAGGGTGTCTGTTGTGGGGAGGGGAAAGGAAAGGAGATTGTAAGCCGCTCTGAGACACCTTTGGGTAGTGAAGGGCCGCTGGGTATAAATCCAATCTCTTCTCTTCTTCTTCTCTTTCACAGTGGCCATTTGTAGTTGCACCCACTACCCCGTGTCAGAACTCCCAAGGTGCCACAGGCTCAAAACTGTTGGGGGCTCCTGTCCTATAAAAGGGGATGGGGGGGGGGAGGTGTGACCTCGAAGGGCATGCAAATACACAGGGCCTGTTACATTATGGAAGAGGCAATGGTTCAGCACAAGTTCCCATTGAACATGCAAAGCATGTGCTTTGTTACTAAGATATGGCTCCTCCCCAATGCACGCACATGTCAGATACTGCAGTTTACGGCACGGTTGTTCTACATGAAGTGATACAGAAACAATTACTTGAGCGAGGCAGATGCAAACAGGAAATTTATTTTTTTATTAGATTTGTATCCCGCCCTCCCCAGATGGGCTCAGGGCGGCTTCCAACAGCGGCAAATCCCATAACAAACAGTTAAAACAGCATAAAACAATCAATAAATAAAGTGCGGTGCTCTAGATATTAACTTATCTCTCCAAGATGGGATCCTTTTATCAACCTAGCCTGACAACATAAGTTCTTGGTCACCTAGGCATCTTCCCAGGGTTGGTTCACTTATCGATCTAATCCACCGTCATAGATGGCAACTCGGTGGTGGCACAACGGCGGCTCCTATGCAAAGGCCTGGCGGAAGAGCTCCGTCTTACAGGCCCTGCGGAACTGTGCCAAGTCCCGCAGGGCCCGGATCTCCTCTGGGAGCTCATTCCACCAGACAGGAGCCGCCGCCGAGAAAGCCCTGGCCCTGGTTGCGGCCAGCTTGATGTCCTTAGGCCTGGAACCACCAGTAGGTGCTGCGCTCCAGGTGCTGCATTCCACTTTAAAACAACTGTTTGAACTCATTTCCGTTAGAGACACCTCTGGCAGAGCCAAGGCGACAAGCCACAAATGGAAGAATGTGAAAAGACTCCGGTTGGATCAGAGCAGTGGTCTATCTAGCCCAGCATCCTGTCTCACACAGCAGCCAACCGATCCTTCCGGAAGGCCAGCTACAGGGCACAGAGGCCGAGGCCTTCCCTTGATATTGCCTCCTGGCTCTGGGATTCAGAGGTGGACTGCCTCCGAAAGTGGACGGGCAATCGGAGCAGAGAGAACCTAAACGCCCATTTTACCTTCATCTTTGTCCAGTCTTCATTGTACCGCGTCCTGTCCTTCTCATCAGTGGAATTGAGATATTTGGCTCTAAAGAGGTCTCCCACCACACGCAAGTGCTTCGCAAACACCATGCTTCGACGAGTCTGTCAGGGAAAATAAAAACCCTTCTGTTGATTAACCGATCAAAACGCCAAGAATTCTTTCATGAAGACAGCGAGCGCACAGGCGTCTCGGCATCGATTTCAAATGTGCATGACTGGACGGTTCTAGGAAAGCACACTCACACTTGGGCGTTTGCCACTTGCTTGGATTTTTAGTCACTTCTGTGTTTATCTGACTCTTATGGGCCCTTTCAAAACCAATAGTTTCAACAAAGTATAAGCTTTTGTGAGCTACAAATGTAAAGGTAAAGGTTTCCCTTGCTCGAAAGCCAGTCGAATCCGACTCTAGGGGGGCGGTGCTCATCTCCGTTTCCAAGCCGAAGAGCCAGCGCTGTCCGAAGATGTTTCCGTGGTCACATGGATGGCATAACTAAACGCCGAGGTGTACGGAACACTGTTACCTTCCCACCGAAATTGTACCTCTCTACTTGCAATTTCTTGCTTTTGAACTGCTCGGTTGGCAGGATTTTGCGGGCTAGGCCCCCTTTTATCTGACACACGAAGGGGAAAGTGAACAGTCAAGTTCCGTGAGATGCCCATTTTGTTTTGTCGCAATGGGAATGTGTTTGCTGAGTGAAGGAGAGACTAAACGCCGAGGTGCCTGGAACATTGTTACCTTCCCTCCGAAATGGTACCTATCTACTTGCAATTTCTTGCTTTTGAACTGCTCGGTTGGCAGGATTTTGTGGGCTAGGCCTCCTTTTATCTGACACACGAAGGGAAAAGGGAACAGTGAAGTTCCGTGAGATGCCCATTTTGTTTTGTCGCAATGGGAATGTGTTTGCTGAGTGAAGGAGACAGTATCAAGGAGAACAGGTCAGAGCCCAACCATTTCAGAATGCTGAAGGCAAGCAGTCGTAGAAATGTACCAGCCATGCATGCACTTTTAGTATCTCTAACTGCCAGGTTAGTTACTGCGTTAAAGAATCTTTTTAACCCACACCCTACTTCGCTAAGAAGTTAAAATACGCTTGTCAGCAGTATTCGCGCTTTTGCTAGCAAACATTTACACAAGAGAAACAGTTTAGTGAGAGACAAACAAGTTAGTAGGATTCTCAAAAAGTTTTAAGAGGGAGTCTTAAGGACCTCAGAGGAGGAAGTGGATGGTGTTGTCTGACAGATTCTCACTTGGTGCCGTGTAGAGTTGTTGATCAATAACTGGACAGGTTTTACTTTTCTGTAGTGGTGTAAGTTTGCCTATATGAGATGTACATTTTGTTCAAGTGTTGGCGTCTGGAATGCCTGTAGAGACAGATGCTTTCCTTGATCAAGACCAACCAACTAAAGATCTAAGCTTCTAAGAAGGGATTTGCTGTTACCAGTCTCCTTTGAACGCCCTTCGGTCGAACCCAGATTTTTCACCATCGTGACCATCTTCCCATGTACTCTAGATTAGGAGGCCTGCTGCAACACACTGTAGATCAAAGAACTGTTCCTTTGAGATAGTTTGAGATCATGGGACTGATTTTGTGACAAAAGTTGGTATGCGTGCAGGAGGAGGAAAACCCCCAGATCGTAACAACCTAAGGTGCTATAAGAACATAAGAACATAAGAGACGCCAATGTTGGATCAGGCCAAAGGCCCATCCAGTCCAACACTCTGTGTCACACAGTGGCCAGAAATACCAGTGCCATCAGGAGGTCCACCAGTGGGGCCAGGACATTAGAAGCCCTCCCACTGTTGACCCCCCCCCAAGCACCAAGAAGACAGAGCATCACTTGCCCCAGAGCCCCTAGCTATACCTTGTGGCTAATAGCCACTGATGGACCTCTGCTCCATATGCTTATCTAATTCCCTTTTGAAGCCGTCCATGCTTGTAGCACCCACCACTTCCTGTGGCAGTGAATTCCATGTGTTAATCACTCTTTGGGTGAAGAAGTACTTCCTTTTATCCGTTCTAACCCGACCGCTCTGCAGTTTCATGGAGTGCCCACGAGTTCTTGTATTGTGAGAAAGGGAGAAAAGTACCTCTTTCTTTACCTGCTCTTCCCCATGCATAATCTTATAAACCTCGATCATGTCACCCCTCAGTCGTCTTTTCTCCAAGCTAAAGAGCCCTAAGCGCTTTAACCTTTCCTCATAGGGAAAGTGTTCCAACCCTTTTATCATTCGAGTTGCCCTTTTCTGCACTTTTTCCAAAGCTATAATATCCTTTTTAAGGTGTGGTGCCCAGAACTGCACACAGTATTCCAAATGAGGTCTCACCATTGATTTATATAGGGGCATTATTATATTGGCTGATCTGTTTTCAATACCCTTCCTAATAATCCCCAGCATAGCATTGGCCTTCTTTATTGCAGTCACACACTGTCTCGACATTTTCAGTGAGTTATCCACTACAACTCCAAGATCTCTCTCTTGCTCAGTCTCTGCCAGTTCAGACCCCATCAATGTGTATTTATATTTAGGATTTTTGGCTCCAATGTGCATCACCTTGCACTTGGCCACATTGAACCCCATTTGCCATGTTGACGCCCACTCGCCCATCCTTGACAGATCCCCTTGGAGTGCCTCACAATCCTCACTGGTTTTCACCACCCTGAACAACTTTGTATCATCCGCAAATTTAGCCACTTCACTGCTTACTCCCATCTCCAAATCATTAATGAACAAGTTAAAAAGCAGTGGACCAAGTACTGATCCCTGCGGTACCCCACTGCTTACCACCCTCCACTGAGAAAATTGCCCACCTACACTCACTCTCTGTTTTCTATGAACTAGCCAGTTTTTGATCCATAAAAGGACTTGTCCTTCTATCCCATGATTTTTGAGCTTACTTAGGAGCCTTTGATGAGGAACTTTATCAAAAGCTTTCTGGAAGTCAAGGTAAATAATATCTATTGGATCCCCCTTGTCCACATGTTTGTTCACCCCCTCAAAGAACACTAACAGGTTAGTGAGACAAGATCTTCCCTTACAGAAACCGTGCTGAGTCTGCCTCAATAGGTTTTGTTCATCTATGTGCCTACTAATTCTTTCCTTAATAATGGTTTCCACCAATTTACCCGGTATCGACGTCAGACTGACTGGCCTGTAATTTCCCGGATCTCCTCTGGAACCCTTTTTAAAGATGGGAGTGACATTAGCTACCTTCCAATCCTCAGGAATGGAGGCAGATTTTAAGGAAAGATTACATATCTTTGTCAGGAGATCTACAAGTTCACATTTGAGTTCTTTCAGAACTCTCGGATGTATGCCATCTGGGCCTGGTGATTTTTCAGTTTTTAAGTTGTCTATCAGTTTTAGGACCTCCTCTCTCGTCACCTCAATCTGACTCAGGTCTTCCAACACCCCTCCTGAAATCAGTGGTTCTGGAGTGGGCAAGCACTTCTCATCTTCCACAGTGAAGACGGAGGCAAAAAATGCATTTAGCTTCTCAGCCATTTCCCTATCATCCTTCAATACTCCTTTTACCCCTTGGTCGTCCAAGGGCCCCACTGCCTCCCTGGCTGGTTTCCTGTTTATGTTGTGAACACACCGCTATGCAATGGCAGTTTTCTCACACCACATGGAAGCATGTTTTGATGGATTCTTGTTGGCGGCGGTGTTGGGCTTTGCTGGACCACCACCACGCAAACAGCTTAAAAAGATATGAAACTGCTTCAGACTGCGGTGGTCTAGCACCATCTCTTCAGGTTCTCATGCAAAGGCCTCTCCCAACCTCATGACTAAAATCCTTTTACACTGGAGATGCCAGAAAATGAACATAAGATCAAAAGGTTGCTTAGCTGTACCTGATGTCCTTTGCAAGATCATCTCCATAGCTGCATGTAATGGTTTTGGGCTGGGGCAGAAGAACTCTCCAGAACGTTCTAGAATTCCTGCCAAAGATCTGGGAGTCAAATCCCCCTCTGAGGAAGGTTACTGTCTCTCTGTGCGTGCCCTGGGGGAAGGACAGCACGCGCTGCTCAACTCCTGCACGATGCCTATCAGAAACTCCTATGTGCCAACATGTAAATGATGCTGTAGTTGCAGCACTCGACAGCATTTCCCCCCTTATGCGCCCCACATCACATCTACTGCCCTACTTTCTCCTCTTCCAACTACCAGGGCTCATTATCTCCTCCCAAGGGTCCACTTAACGGTAATCTCCACTTAATGGTAATCTCTGCTGACCATGGTCAAGTTCACAACTGTCAGGAAGTGGGTTTCCAACACCTTAGACCTATAGTGGTCGTGAAAAAGGTTTTCTGCTCTGTCCACCGGGTTCTGGATCAGGGGCTATGGATTCCCTATGTAACCCCTCAGTTGGGGTGCAACCTTTGCTGGTTCAGCATCTTCTAAGGACCTGCTTGTATGCCAGCCTGGACAGCTCCCCAATGAAACGGTCTCCTGCTCTACAGGCCCCTGCCCGGTTCCTTGTATATTTCTCTGGTTCCTGCTTCTTAACTTTACGGAAGGGCTGCGGCTCAGTGATAGAGCCTCAAATTTGCATGCAGAAGGTCGCAGGTTCAATCCCTGACGTCTCCACTTATAAGGACCAGGCAGGAGGAGATGAGAAAGACCTCTGCCTGAGACCCTGAAAAGCCACTGCTAGTCTGAATAGACAATACTGACCTTGATGGACCAGTGATCTGATTCAGTACAAGGCAGCTTTGTAACTGGTAAAGGTAAAGGTTCCCTTGCTCGAAAGCCGCTCATCTCCGTTTCAAAGCCGAAGAGCCAGCGCTGTCCGAAGACGTTTCCGTGGTCATGTGGCCGGCATGACTAAACACGGAATGCTGTTACCTTCCCACCGAAGTGGTCCCTATTTATCTACTTGCAATTTCTTGCTTTCGAACTGCTAGGTTGGCAGGAGCTGGAACTAGAGACGGGAGCTCACTCCGTCATGCGGCACACTCGGGTCTCGAACCCTTCCACAGCCTGCAGTTCAGCGTCTTAACCACTTGAGCCACCGCAGCTCCACTTGTAACTGAAACTGGTAGAAAGCTCTAATTCAGCTGCCTTCCCACAATCCTCATGTCTTTGTACCCAGCCGGCCAGGAGAACAGGTCAGCTGCTAACTGTTGTCTTCCGAGGTCACTCACAAATGGAGGTAGAATAACTGGAGGACGCCAAGGTTTCTGCCTGTCATTTTGTCTTTTGTCCACCTTTCCAAGCGCTGTCAAAAGGGAGGCCCTCCAAGCAGGTCCTCCTATCTGCTGATAGAGAAGTGGACCGAAACCAGGCGTGCCAACGTAAAGCTACAGCAGAGGCCATGGTCAGATGATGTGAATTGCCACAGAAGACTCCTTCCCATTGGAACAAAGTCTTTGTGGAATTCCCAACCATCTGAAATGGCAACTATGCTCGGCGAAAACTCAGCAAGCAACTCAACCGCTGACTGTGAGGGGAAATCAGTCAGATCACCGGCAACAAAAACAGCTGGTGCAAATTTTTTACACAAACCAAATCAATAATCTGGAAGTAGTCCTAAAATAAATACTCACATCCCAATAGTCTTTGCCAGCATAGTGGTCATGGAGAAGGTTTTCTGCTCTGTCTAGCATCACTGACCTATCAAAAAAGGAAAGCATCTTCCTTTGCAAAGTGATCACGGAGTCTTGGGAAGTCATCCATTTCCCATGCAAAGCAAGGAGACAGAAAAGCTGTGGAGAGTCCGACGGCTCTAAAAGTACAACTGGTCTGGGAGAGTGAAAATAGGTGGGTTTTCCTGGATCCAATACTGAGCACTCCTGACAGGACATCATACAAACGATACACCCGAAAGCATCTTCCTTTGCAAAGTGATCACCGAGTCTTGGAAAGTCATCCATTTTCCATGCAAAGCAAGGAGACAGAAAAACTGTGGAGAGTCTGACGGCTCTAAAAGTACAACTGGTTTGGGAGAGTGAAAATAGGTGGGTTTTCCTGGATCCAAGACTGAGCCCTCCTGACAGGACATCATACGAACGATACACCCTCTTTAACTGGAAGGGGGAACCCTTGCTGTTTTAGGCAAAATTTAATAGATTTCCACGGGCCCTACACATTTCATTTTTTTCCCCGAGGTGAGAAAAAAAACTAAAACGTTTTCTTTGACCCTAAAAGTTCATTATTTCCCTTCTGGCTTTTAAAAGAAATCAAAACATTTTCATGGGCCCCTAAAATTATCGTGGGCCCGAGGCACTGTGCCTAATGCTTAAGGCGGCTTAAGTGGTGGCACCTCCCAGAGGTGCAGCCTTTCAGAGCGCTTGTTTTAGGCAAAATTTAATAGATTTCCATGGGCCCTACACATTTCATTTTTTCCCTGAGGTGAGAAAAAAACTAAAACATTTTCTTCGACCCACTGGTTTAAAAAAAAAATCAAAACATTTTCATGGGCCCCTAAAATTATCGTGGGCCCGAGGCACTGTGCCTAATGCTTAAGGCGGCTTAAGTGGTGGCACCTCCCAGAGGTGCAGCCTTTCAGAGCGCTTGGTGGAGTGGTTAGGAGCGTGGACTCTAATCTGGGAGAACTGGGTTTGATTCCCCACTCCTCCACATGCAGCTGCTGGTGTGGCCTTGGGTCAGTCACAAGTTCTCTCAGAGCTGTTCTGGAAAGAGCAGTCCTCGAAAGAGCTCTCTTAGCCCTCTAAGCTGTGGAGTCTTGTGAGAAAAAATTCTACTTTGTGAGCTACTGGCATTAAAGTTGTGAGCGAGCGATTTGGCTGCTGCATAAATGAGTTTGCTTTGGAGCCCTCCTTCCTGAGCGAAGGCAAAAATGTGTGAGCCGGAGGCTAAAAATCTGTGAGCTAGCTCACACCAACTCAGCTTAGAGGGAACTATGCTTACAGGGTGTCTTTTGTGGGGACGGGGTGGGAAAGGAGATTATAAATTGCTCTGAGACTCTGAGTGAAGAGCGGGGTATAAATCCAATCTCTTCTTGTTCTTCAGGCTAATCCATCCCCAGTTAACCCTGAGTAAACTTTTGGCCGCTTACGATGCTACTGTAAAGGACCAAGACCGTGTGTTGCAATATTCGGTATTTATTGCACAGCGTGCCAAAATAGAACCCTTGCTGGGTGGCCCACGCAAAAAGATTTCAAACCATGAAAAAAGTTATCTTACCAAGGACATATTCATTTATATTTACTATAATCCAAAGTCGTTATAATCAGAGACTACAATACCTCCTTTCTGTAGATCAAAAGTGAACTTGCAAACTTCCAAGATAAAAATTAGCAGATCATGTCTTACCGAGATGAAGTATTCAAAAGAAGAGGAGCTATGATGGAAGCGGAACCCTGGACTGATAAACAGGCCAATTTAAGGCCTCGTGTCTCCTCATAGCCCCAGAACCATCCCCTATAAGAGAAGGTGAAAATCTTTAATCAGTGGTCACACATAACCTATTGTATCATCTAAAACAACTTGTTGGACTGTTAATGCACAATTTTCCAGCTTATATGGCTCCTTAGTATAACAATCAGGTGAAGTTAATGGGTCTGACTTGGGTCAGCCTTCCGTGGGAATATGATCACCACAAAGACAGGAAATCAAGTCACTGCTCATGTTGTGGTGTGAGCAGTTAAAATGGAAGCATAAACCAAGATTATGATATATGCACAGCATGGAATGGAGTACAGATTCATAACACCAAATGAACTGGTATTTTCCCAGCCCCGGATGCCCACATTCAGGATCATGATGTTCACAGAGCTGCAACACACAAGTGTAATACACAGCCATTTCCAGTGTTACTTAGCAAACACCAGAGTAGTCTGCTCCAAGTCCAGCTCCATAGAGAAGTCTAAAAAAATCCTAAACAAACCAATAGTCCCAATACACAAGCACAGGATACAGGACAAAGGGGATGGGGACAGCAAACAGGGATAAAAACGTAGTAAAATAAGAGAACCCCCCCCCCCCAAGGATATTTATTTCCACAGTCCAGGAGCACCTTAAAGACGAACAAAATTTGTGGCAGGGTATGAGCTCTGAAGAAGTGCGCAGTGACTCACAAAAACTCATACCCCTGCCACAAATTGTGTTAGTCCTTAAGCTGCTACTGGACTCTTGTTCTTTTCTATTGCTACTGACAGACTAACATGGCTACCCATCTTGATATATCTGTTTAAGGCAACAGGAGGACTATTAGTGTAGAATGCAAACATATCGGTAAGCTTTCTCATTCTGGTATTGAAGTCTCCTGCAGATCATTAAAAAGACATATCTCCTATCTGGCAAATCTGGACATTTAAAACTATATATATATATATAGTTTTATATATATAGTTTTAAATATATATGAATTACAACTAATGTTAAAATGCATTGTACTTCACCAAGGGCGGGGAGATTACGAGACTCATTATGTAAGAGAAGAACTATGTAAATACGACTACTATTTCAGGAGGTTACCTGTAGTATTTCTGTTTGTCCATGGAATAAGTGGGCTGATCAATGCATGGCCTTTCATTTATTTTCTCCTCCCAAGTCCCCTCTTTCCATCCTTCAGCATAGTTTTGCAGGACATATATTTGTTCAATAAAAGGTCCACCTGATTCTGGAGAACAATCAGACAAAGATTAGCACACAGCTATAAGGTTTATATAAATACATTTGATCTGATAAGAGTAAATGTAAAGCACAGCCAGCCGCTGTGGTATAATGATTAGAGGGCTGGATTAAAGCTGACTCGGGTTCAAACCCCACCCCCACGCCACAAATTTCTGAGGATAACCCGAACTGAAATCAGGTACATACATATTTCTAAGCTAATCTATTTAGCAAAGGAAAATATTTACCTAGACAAACTCTAAATGTAACTGCTCAAAAGAGCATTGGAGTGCAGGTATTCTAAAGGGGGGGGGGTCACTGTATTTTCATAAAAGAGTAATCTGGAGAGTGGTCAATGAAAGTTGCACACGATCTGAAATACATTAACAAGCCAGGTGGGTATAATGGTCAGTGTCAGACCAAGAGGAGGGAGGCTAAGGGTCAAGTCGCTACTCTACCACGAAGCATACCGGGTAATCTCTGGCCAGACGTTCTCTCTGCTTAACCTCACGGATAAAGATCAAATGAAGACGGGAGAAAAATATCTGCTGCTCTGAGCTTCTCAGGATGGGATAAACACGTAATAGATCGATTAATAAATTAAAATGTACTTCTGATTAAACATTACCCATCGTTGTACATTAGAAGAAGAAGAGGAGATTGGATTTATACCCCGCCCTTCACTACCCAAAGGTGTCTCAGAGCGGCTTACAAACTCCTCCCCCTTCCCCTCCCCACAACAGACACCTTGTGAGGGAGGCGGGGCTGAGAGAGCTCTTGACAGAAACTGCTCTTTTCCAAGAACACCTCTGACAGAACTACAGCTTGCCCAAGGTCATCCAGCCAGGTGCAAGTGGAGGAGTGGGGAATCAAACCCGGTTCTCCAAGATTAGAGTCCACACACTTAACCACTACACCAAACTGGCTTGTGTTGAGTTACTTCTTGGAGGCCTTTTCAGAGGCAGCCCCGTGATTATTGAACAACTTCCCCGGGGAGGTGTGTCCAGCCTCCTAATTTCAGTCTTCAGGAGGCAACTGAATACAGTTTTATTTAGGACAGCATTTGACTAATTTACTTTTTGCTCATTGGCAGTCCTAATTGGAGATTTTAAACTGCAGTCTTTTAGGTGTTTTTATAACTGTTGCTTTATTTACACCATGAGCCACCTGGAGTTTCACAAAATAGAAAGATGGCTAACATATCTTTTAAATAAGTATATAAAAATACTGTACAATTAAATCCATGTCTTTATTCTTTTAACTGAATAGGGCATGTCAATATCAGTAAAACAGCTTGGGAGGGAAAGGGCAAGAAAGTTAAATTTACTCAATAGGAATACAGAAATGTGATACATTGTATCCTACTACAACTAATTTTATGTGGCCATGTAGAGAAAAAACTCGAAGTGAAATTCCTTCAAAATATTGTAACAGATTATTTTGTTGTATCTTTTACCTGCGAGAAACTGTTCATATTCAATTACAGGTATGTTTTTATTGAGGCTTGGAACATCAAAAAATTCAAACCACGGAATTCGGACCTGATGTATATCAGGGCTCTGCCAGTGATAGAGACGTCCCCAGGGTGGTAAGACCAATACCCAAGCTTCGCTTTTTGACAAAGTCTTTATAAGAGAGGCAATCCGAATGTAGACATCTCTACGGAGGTTGAAACCTTCCGGTGGATTTACATCATACAAAAGGTACCTGGAAATAACAAAGAAATAACATTACTTGGCTTTGCAAACCTACCGAGTGATTCCAGATTTAAATTCAGTACACAAAGCGGTAGACCATCTTTACTGCTTTTAAGGCAAATAAGTTGAGGCAGGAACCTAAAACGTCTAAACTTTTTGATGCATGACTGATTTCAGTTTCTACATCAAATCATCTGCATTTTCCCACAGAGGAAAAGAAGGGCTTGAACACTTACACTTAGCAGACTAGAACCTGAAGTCACACTTAGCAACACAGCTCAGGAAGCATTTACGTTTGAACACTGAAGATTTGTGGCTGACTCGCCATTTTGCACTAAAAGAACAGGGAGCAAAATCTATCACCCTGCTTTACCTGCAGACCAGGTGTGCAAACCGGTTAAAGGATGCTAAGGAAAAAGCAATCTGTGTTTTTTAGAGGAAAATGCTTAAGGATATAATTACAAAAACACAACAGTTACCAGTGGAGCACTGGATCAGATTCACGGTTTTGGTGCTCACCTTTAAAGCCCTTAAAGGTCAGGGACCTACGTATTTTTGGGACTGCCTCACCCGATAGGTCCCCCGAAGGACACTGAGATCAGCAGATAAGAACCTCCTGGTGATCCCTGACCCCAAAGATATCCGGCTGGCCTCGACCAGGGCCAGGGCTTTCTCAGCCTTGGCCCCACCCAGCCTGGTGGAACTCTCTGCCGAATGACATCCATCCCATCTAATCTATTGAAGTTCCGCAAGGCAGAGATGTTCCGCCAGGCCTTGGGTTGAGGCCAGCGATGGTTCCTTCACATCTGCCTGGCACTCTCCCCTACCCTCCCAGGAAAATCTGAATCCTAATATGCCATCTGTTTAAATACTTATGCTGACTGTTTTAATATTGAACTTTTGTAGTTTTAACTGGTTTTACAATTGTATTAGAGTTTATGTTGTTGTAAACTGCCCTGAGCCCCACGTAAGCGGGGAAGGGCGGTTAAGAAATTGAAATAAATAAATAAACAAACGTAAAGGGCAATTTTACAGATACTAAGGACATTCCTTGATCAAAATGCATATATATAAAAAAGAGTACATGGCATAATAGCTTAAAGAATATATCGCATGCTATATATGGCGTAATGACTTAGAAATATATACAGCATTATAGCTTAAAAGAATCAGTACAATGACCTATTCTACATATTCTACCACTTTCTTACCATAACAGTCATATAAAAATAATGCCCTTAATATTTCATATTAAAACTAACTTATGGTATCTATATATCTAATAGCGAAAGGCGCCCCCTGCGTGCGGATATCTAAATCGCCTCGCCATTGCCGCTACCGCGGGGAGGGAGAAAACTTGGTGGGCTGGCCAGGCCTTGCCGCTGCTGGGGGAGGGGGGAGGTTTGGTGGGCTGAGCTGAGGCCTCACTGCCGTTGCCATGGGGGGGCGAGGGAGGTTTTGCGGGCCCAACAGCTAGGAGCTGCAGGGGCCTCGCTGTCGGGGCCAGGCAGGGGCGGGGAAGAAGGCTTACCTGCGGTGGCTTCCTCCTTCTTGACAAGTAAGGGGAGGGAGGGGAGAAGGAGAAAGGTTGGTGGGCTGGCCTCACCACCGCCACTGGGGGTGGAGGGGGGAGGGAGAAGGATTTGTTCACCTGCTGCCGCTTCTGCAAGCCGGAAGCTGTGGGGACTACTTCTCTCCCCCCCGCGAGTATCGTGGGTCCCACCTCTTGTTATCATATAATATTAAGCCATTTCAATGTATAACTACAGAGATTGGTTATAATAATCATAGAAAACTCGCCAGGTATTTTCAGATTCATCTTTCAGACTTTGATTAATGTTGTTTGTCAGTTTTGCCATAACTGCATATTCTTGCATCTTGTCTATCCTGTTCTCAAGAGTGTGTTTGATAATATTAAGAGGAGGTTCACATGATCTCAGGGCCGATACACGTAACAGTAATAGCATTATATATTGTTTAATAATTATTTATCACCAGCATTTCAAAAATGAAGAGGACACTTGCATACCCCTAACCTCACACCTTCTCTTTGAGGAGGAGGAGGAGGAAGAGAAGATTGGATTTATACCCCGCCCTTCACTACCCGAAGGAGTCTCAGAGCAGCTTACAAACTCCTTTCCCTTCCCCTCCCCACAACAGACACCCTGTGAGGTGGGTGGGGCTGAGAGAACTCTGACACAAACTGCTCTTTTTCAAGGACAGCTGTGCCAGAGCTTGTGACTGACCCAAGGTCACATCAGCAGGTGCAAGTGGAGGAGTGGGGACTCAAACCCGGTTCTCCCAGATTAGAGTCCGCAGACTTAACCACTACACCAAACTGGCTCTCTTTGCTGTATTAATTTTCACTCGAGGGCCATTCTTGCCATGGGCTGCTGAAGCAAGGTGAGTCAGGAAATCAACTACTGCTATTCTCCAAAAAACCAGGAGTTCTCATCCTGTGGTCTAGGACCCAAAAGTGAGTTAGATCAGTCACAGGTGGGTTGGGAGACCAGGTAGAAGGAATGGGCAAGAAATGCAAGCAGTTGCTCTGGAGGGGGGTATGTGTGTGTGTATAACTTGTTTAGCATTAACTGCTGTTTTATGTTAGGGAGAGGGGGAAGCCAGCAGGGGTTTCTTTGCAGGGTTCACTGTAGAAGTGAATCATGACAAGTCCAGTGGCACCTTAAAGACTAACAAAAGTATGTGGCAGGGCATGAGCTTTTGTGAGTCACTGCTCACTTTCACAGTGACTCCATGAGACTCACAACAGACCCACTTACATTTACCTCAGAAAGGGTGCGTTTAAACAGCAACTTGGAACTAACTGGGCAGCAACTTACTGGAAGCGGGGATGGACCAGAGATGGATTTTATTTATTTATTTATTTTCATTACATTTATACCCCGCCCTTCCCGCAAGCGGGATGCTGACCAGCAATGCTCCCTCTAAGCTGTGGAGTCTTGTGAGCAAAAATCCTACTTCCTGAGCTACTGGCATGAAAGTTGTGAGCAAGCGAATTGGCTACTGCATAAATTAGTTTGCAAAGACACATCTGATGTGTTTCCAGTGCTTCTCTTCACCATCTGAAGTGGGGGGGGGACAGTAAATCCCTGCACCCCTTCCTCCAAGGTCCATCTCCTTGGGTGGAGGGGGGGGGAAGAACCCTAGCCAAACTTCCGGCAGGCTACAGTTAGGTTGGCAGCTGTCCCAGGTACAATGAGGAGACCACCTGAGCCATTGTCAGGCAGTGTTCCCTCTAAGCTGAGTCAGTGTGAGCCAGCTCACCGTTTTTTAGCCTCTGGCTCACACATTTCTGCCTTCGCTCAGGAAGGGATGGCTCCAGAGCAAACTGATTTATGCAGCAGCCAAATCGCTCGCTCACCACTTGAATGCCAGCAGCTCACCAAGTAGGATTTTTGCTCACAAGACTCCGCAGCTTACTGGGAGCATTGCTCTGGAGCCATCCCTTCCTGGGCTAAGAATAAAA